TAGCAAACAACACCCATGCTGCCGAAGTGGCTATCCTGGAACACAGTTGGAGCCCTACCATTGCTCTAGCAAGATGCAATCCACCACAGAACATTCCGGAAAGTAACTTGCAAGAAAGAGAACAAGGTTATCGAAATGAGCATGAAGATTGTCGTCAACCCTGGCCCCTCACCCTGATTTACAACTTACTGATTCCGCACTGCCTCCACCGCCCCCCTCTCTTGGACCCCCTGCTGCACTATCCTCCCCAGCTACAGTTCACTTCCACCTCTTCTTCCTTCCCCTCTCCTTATTCCTACTCTTCATCATCATGAACCACCTCTCTCCCTCCTCCAATCCACAGTGATGCACCCTCCAAGCATTTCCTAGAGCCCCTTGCTGATGTCAACCTGGCCCCAGCGCACTGGATAGAGCCACAGAGTTATTGCCGTCAGAAATGCCTGGTAGAGACTGGACTGCGCCTCGCCGCCTTCCATTGTTGCACCCCCCGACGGTCGGCGGCCCTTGACTGGTTGGCACCTACCGGTCGGGGGTCGTCGGCACCCTTGGGGTCCAGAACCCCCAATAACACATCCAACACCCCCATAGTGTCCCCCAATACCCACATACACCCCCCCAAACCGCCCCCAAACCGCCCTCAACATCCTCATTACCCCCGGGCCCCCCCAATACCCCCTATACCACCCCTATACCCCCCTATACTCCAACCCCAACCCCCCCATATTCCCCCCCATCCCCAAGAGTTTCTCAGCGGATTTGGGCTGTACTCAGCAACCGCAGGACAGCCCACTACTCAGATTTGAAAAAAAATCAGTGTCAGTGGAGTGGACGTTTTTATCTTTTTTTTTTTCACTGGTCGGCAGATCGCCGACCGGTCGGCCCAACTGGTCGGCTGCAATACGGTCGGCGGTCGGCAGGGTTGCAACTCTGCCGCCTTCCCAAAATACACAATATGCGGAGCCTAATGATCTGATTGTGCTACCGCAAAATCATAGCACGTACTATGCTATTGAGTAGTAACAACCCATGTCTCCTCTTCTCATTGAACTTACTGAAGACCCTAAAATGTATACTTCTGTGCAGACATTGTTTGCTGGATAGAACCGAGCCACTGTAGTGTCTGGCACAAAGATGGCTGCGCCGCCACTGGTGTGAACATGGAAGTCCTGTCTATGGTGTTCATAGGGGAAGGCAAGTGCAGCTCCAGCCTGCCACGCAGAATTATATCTCTGACATGGACCCAAATATCCGTGTGTATACCCTACATCATCAGGGCCACTTCTGCACATCAACGCTCGCAGAACCGTTCCTGGGCTCGGTGGGATCCATCACATCACTTTTTATTATCGCGGGCAGTCCGAATTCCAGTCAGTTTTGGCTAGTTAATCAGGAAAAGTATGCGATTGTAGCAATGCACCTGGACAAGGTGAAGCGGTGTCCCCTCCGGAAGACAATGTCACCAACCATCCACGCTCCCCTGTATCTGATCTAACTGTGCCAGCTGTCTGTTCAGATCACACAGATTCAGCCAGTACTGGCAACGTGGCCTCTTCAACGGAACATCGCTATACCACATCAATCTGTGAACATCCAGCAGGTAAGGTCCAGTCAGAGTGTGCACAGTGCGCAAACTTTTCCTGCATAGTATATTCTCCAATCTGACCCCCCTGAAGGGATGATGATCACTACCAGCCTCTGCAATGAGACCTGTGATCCGTCTTTGCCTCGCATTCATGCTCACAAGCGGTTCTCCAAAGTTCACACCCACTTATTAGCTGGCTGATATGCAGTCGCCACCTTGACATGTCTTCCTTACATGACTGTGCATGTGAGTAGTCTTTCCTTTTGGCATTCCAACAACACGCTATGTGTCACTGATGATTCCAGGAAGCTTTCACGGACAGTATGTGTCTCCACTGCGCGGGGGAATCTGTGTTGTCACCATCCCCCACACCCTCTTCGGTCATGTACAACATGTAATCCTGGCCTCTCCCTACTTGTACCTGCGACGGAACTCCCTTCCTCCTGAAACGTCCCCCACCCTTGCCGGCCAAAGAACGGATACAGCAGCCTGTTGTGGAAAGCAGACAGCCATGTGAGCAACCTGCAGCAGAGCATATGAAAGGTGTCTATCCCTGGGCGAGCAGAGGCATGTCAGATTTTGCAACAACTGAACATCCTAACTTTGATCCAACCCGTCATGATCGGCGTCATCACCTGTACAGAGACAGGCTAGTTTGGTAGAACAAGCCGAAGAAACTATATGCCCACCGTAGTTCTTGCTTAGCCCCCAGCCGATCTTCGGTAAACCTGTGATCGCGACTCTCGTCTCATGAACATTAGGAGGGTATGTTCCACGCAAGTCCTTGGTTCCGAATTTTTTATGATAGTCTACCATGTAATTATCCAAGCCATCCTCTTACGGCATCCCCTCTCTAGAGAGAGGGGCTGGAATTACTTGCAATCGTTGTGCCTCTATATTCTTCGCATCGCAATGTCGCATATGACATACGTCTGCGCCAAGCCATCTGCCACCTTCACAGTAACTGCAAAGTTTGGATTTGGTGCTTCCACAGGCCACACCCTCCAGTCTTGCCCGATGCATGGGGATGGCCACTCACCATTAGCAATACCTCCTCCTCCGGTCATTCTCTGTGCAACCAACCCTCATGCCATTCTCTGCAAGTCTGTTGTACTAGTGAGTATTCACGATCACCTTTTCTTTCCCTATCGTTTCTCTCCCCTTTTCTCCCTTCTTTCTCCCCCTTCGCTTACCCCTGCGGAACTGCTAAATGCAGATGAATGAGCATCACTCAAAAAGAACAGGCAAAATATAAGCCGCAAAGTGTGCTGAATGTGTGACCATCCTGCACTCAAGTACACAGACATGGCAGACCTTTCTCCACTCAAAACACAGCAGTGAAATGGCTGTTTCACAAAACATCATAATCTTTGCATTTGAAGTATATCGCAAGGTAAGACTGTTACATATATGATATCCTTGCATCCAGGGGGAAGAGGGGTTACTCTGACGATTGTTCAAAACACATACAAAAGAGAGAATGCACATGTAATGACCCACCAAAAACACAGACTGGGAACACTGCTGATTTCTGGGATTTGCCAATGGAATGAATGCCTTGCTGTGATTCCCGCATTCTGCTGTGGTCCCAAGTCTGTGTGTATGCGTGCCTGCTGGTTTGCATGCCTGTCTGAGTGCTTGCCGGTTGTGTGTGTGTGCGTGCCTGCTGGTTTTGCATGTCTGTCTGAGTGCTTGCTGGTTGGGTATGTGGTGTGACCCGCAAGGGTACTTGTTGGATGCAAGGCCCACCGGGCCGGTACTTACCTGTGGTCGTGACTTTGAAGGGTTGCAGGGGGGTAAACACGCCGGTAGCGGGGAGTAGGCCCACGACACTTAGAGCAGCTGGGGAAAAACACTCAAGTAGCAGGTAGGCCGAGCAGAAGAAGACAAAAAGTTGGCATTTTTAGAGGCCCAGTAGCGGTAGGTTAGAGGTAGGCCGGTACCAGTCCAAGTAGCCCGGTCAAGGGCCTGTGCGGACAATAACAGAGCCTGCAATGATGTTTCCCTCCAAAAGGGAGGAGGTACCGGTTGCTGGGAGGCCGCTTGGCCTAGGAAGTCACCGCCCAGGAGGCCGGTAGGCCGCTATACCTTCAGGAAGAGTGGAGAGCTCTTCCTCATTTGCGGTATGCAAGGATTGGCGACATGCTGCTGGAGCGCAGCGCTGGACTG